TGTATAGTTATTATGTGTAGTTTTGCGCAATTAGTAAAAACAGGTGTCCGAAAACTTTTGTCTAGGGTGTGTATATATATGTGCACTGCAACTGATTGTTTTTTGCTTGTGACTAATTTTAAATGATAAAAAGGATCATCACCTTGGTGATATGCATCCTGCTGAAGCAGCACGATTTCAGCAAATTATTCATAGGTACCTTAATGTTATTACTCTTATCATAAGGGATCGTAACTATGGAAATTTGAATAGTTTTTCTGCGAATTGGGACAGTTTTAGACGTCGCAATCCTTAAAATAATAATATCAAAAAGTTGATTTTTGACGCTAAAAAGAAATTCAATTAATTGTAATTTGGAATTTTAGCTTGAAACTGGTCCAATTAATATTCTTCGCTTTTTTGGCACCAAAATCATGACTCTCCTTATCTTGGTATTTTTCATTTTTAATACCCAAATGAGTTTGATAGATGGTATAAGAAGGGCACTTAATCCAATGCCGTTATCAATTGACAACAATGAAAGCCCTTATAAGAAATAATTCGATTTTGGGAATTTAAATTTTACAGTAAGTTAAAAACCTAAAGTGTATTCTTATGTAAAAATAACTAATGGATGTATATAAAACATCCAAGCCCGCCACCATTCATTCACTTAATCCAATGCCGTTATCAATTAACATAAAGCCTTTATAAGAAATAATTCAACTTTGGGAATTTTTGAGCGATTGAAAATTTTACAACAGGGTAGAAACCTAAAGTGTATTGTTATGTAAAATAACTAATGGTTACATATGAAAAATATAACCCTTGCTATCATTCATTCACTTAACTCAATACTGTTTCAACAAAAAGAATATTCTTGGACTTTTACAAAAAAGGTATTGTCTCTGATGTAAAATTCTATATAGATTAGAGAAAGTTAATCTTATTAATAATAGTTTATTAGTTGATGAAATAAATATGAAAATGGTGATGAAAATACCATGTAAATTTAATAAATAATATACAAAAAATCAACATATCCGCATCTTTCTTCTCCATTTCCTCAGTATCATTATAGTTTCTTGCTTAATCATTATTAATTACATTTATCATCAAAAGATATCTATATAATATTATCACTTCAATCATTTTACTATAAAGGACATACATAAGTGATCGAAATCTTAAATATTTCATAATAATGTAATATTTGGACATTGGTTTCTACTTTTGTTTGTAATTGGACATGCTAAAAAAAATTTCTACATTTATGAATATAAAGGCAAAATTTGACTTTAAATTTAGTGTGGTGGTTATTACACAACAAGAGAATTAGGAGTTATTTGATTGTAAAATTTTATTAGGTAAATTTATAATTCGTACATGACATTCTGAATGGGCCAAATTGGCCAATTACTTTTGTTCTTATGGAGGCAGCAAGGGCTTTTCCCTATCTTTTTCTGTGTTTGATTCGGTGATGATTATTCCACTGTTGAAAATATTAATAAATGAAAGATAGGTTATCTGGATCCCTCCCTCTTTGTATGCTTTCGGAGGTCTTGACCAGGTAATCATTGGAGATTGGGTGGCACATTTCAAACTCCATCGAAACCTTTGATGAGTCAATATGCTTATAACATTTATCTTTGATTGCAACGTTGGACTCATCCCTTCCATGTGGGTTCGTTGCTGCCATGATCATTGTCATAACCATATCCAGTGGCTCCAATTGTTATCATTCTCAAGCTCCGTTTGTATTGTAATAATAATTCTTTGCTATACGTATATGGGAAATTTTCAATAGAAACATATGAAAAATGTAATCTCAAGTTAATACTACTCTGATATATAATATTCTTCACGTAGAACCATTTTTGGCTTAGAAACTACATATACTCACTCTTGCATATTGTTCAAATTGTTCAAAACAATAGTTTGAAATGTAGATCTTTTTTTAATTTTCTCAAAACATCATTTTCAATTCAAGCCAAACTACTATATATAAACTGGTTTTTGCTTTATGACAATTCAAAATTGGTTAACCAAAAACGTAATAAATAAATTATCTTGTTAAAATTTGTCTTATAATTCTTATAATGATAAAATTCAATTTATAATTACCTTAATAGTAAAATAATATTCATACTACACATCTAAACTCGATAAGTCGGACATTTATTTATATTATAAAGTACTTTAAACAATTGATTGCTGCGTCCGACTTATCGAGTTTAGATGTGTAATTATAAATAATTGTAAATCATCATCATAAACTGAATTTTTATAAGCCGAATTTATATCGTGTGATTCCCAAAAGTTCAGCTTATCAAGGCTTAACTGTATATTGAAAGGCTCCCATTATATGTTATATTAATAATATACATTTGCGCCATCCACGACATGTGACACGACGCGATCAAATAATTTTACCATTATATTATTTTATCATCATCATATGATGATTTACAAAGCCATTTAATTATTGGAAAAAAAACTGGATTCAACTCAATTTAGGTTTCAATCTTCATCAATGTATCTAATTACTATTTGGTATACTTGAAAGATTAATCAACGGTGGCTCAGGATGGTCCTTAAAATCCAATGATTTCAAAGGTATTGAAAACCATTGTTTATGTCTTTCTTAGAAAGAAATTGATGTGCCTTCCAATGGAGATCAAGAAAATTCTAAAGAAAAATATTTCCAAGTGGAATGAAAATGATTTTAAAGAATCAAAAAATTTTCTATACAATTTCTTCTAATGAGAAAATTGTCAAATACTTTTTCCCCAAAGTTATTTTGGAATAACCTTTCACAGTACAACAAATTTTAAATTTATTACCATCAAGAAGTCCCAAAATTTGAATCAATGCTTGAATCAACAACAATCAACAACAAGCTTATTGTAAATTGGATTGATAGAAAAAGCCTACCATGAAATTAACTCATTCAGTAAAGTTAAATATAAATTTGACTTTTATAGTTTGGATGCAACTAAAAACGTGATAATATAATATATCAACAAAACTCAAATTGAATAATAATTAGTAATTCATTTGATTGAAATGGCCATGGATATAAAAGACAAATGATTTTATATTTAACATAGGTAAACGTAATTAATAATTTGCCTGTTTTTGATGGTGGTGGTAATATTTTATAGTAAATCAACTATTTATAATAACATTAGTAAATGAAAGCTTTTCAAGTAATTAATTGGTAAAAACTAATGTAATAAATTTTAAATAAATTCTTGATTTTATTTTTAACATTGACCAAATTTAAATTTTAAAAAATAAATACAAATAAATATATAAATTAATAACAAAAATATATATAAAAGAAAAAAAATAAAAGAATGAAAAATATTTTTATCAAGCGACTAAATAAAAAAATTTTAAAACAAATAAACAGATTGAGTTAAAGGTAAATACTTGATAGGATCACAGGAACATACAACTCCATCAGCTTTAACAACATAAGTTTCTGGGTCAACCTCTATCTTTGGCAAATAATCATTCAATTTCATATCTTTTTTACCAATATTTCTACACTTCTTCACCGCCTCAATCTTCTTCTTCAAACCATAATGTGGTACTGTTGATTCAAGTAATGACAATTGACTAACAAATGCAAATGAATTTTTGGCTGCAGCTGATCCATATGAACCAAACATTGGTCTTGAAATAACAGGTTGAGTTGTTGGGATCGAGGCATTTGCATCACCCATTTGTGACCAAACAATTACACCTGACTTGATAACTATTTCTGGTTTTGTACCAAAGAATGCTGGATTGTACATCGCCAAGTCTGCTACTTTTCCAACTTCAATTGATCCTACCAAATGTCCTATACCACACACGATAGCACTACATATATTTTATTATATTTCCCATTCAAGAGATAAAAATTAAAAATTTATATTAAAAATTTAGATTTTATAACCTTGATAATAATTGTAGGATTGTTGAGAATAAAATCTACTAGTGACAGGAAATTACAAAAGCAAATAACAGATGAAATTGAATATATCTCAAAATATTTTAAAGAAGAAGCATATGACAATCCTGATATACTCATATTTAAATCAAAATTACATGAAAATAATAAACGAATTAATCAAAGTTTCCAATCATTGAACAGAGCTATTAACCTTTTTATTGAAAATAAAAAACCTATTCCAATTTCAATAATTATTAGAAAAGGAAATTTGTTATTTAAATTGAGTAAGAATTTTAAAATAAATTAATGAACTAACTAACACTAACTAACACTAACTAGCCAACTAACTAACTGATTAACTAACTGACTAATTAATAGAAAATTATGAAGGAGCCAAAGAACAATATTTACAAGCTTTGGAAGAGTGTATAAATCTCCCAGAATCTGAACGACAGCCAAAAGAGGTGGCAATTAAATTCAACTTGGCTCGTGCATATGAAAATCTTGGATCATACAGTGAAGCAGAAGCTTTATATCGAGAATTGACACTGGCGCATCCTTCATTCAAGATGGCAAACATGCGATTGGGTGGAGTGTTGGAAAAAACATTATACATGTTTCCAGAAAAGGTCAACCAATACTATGAGGAATTGTCAGAAATTGATGAAAAAAATCTAGAAATCAAAAAGCTTCATGCCAGTTTTCTAATTAGACAAGGTGATTTGAAAAAAGCAAAAAAAATACTTGATTCTATATCATCACACAAAGCCAGCTCAAGTATTTTGACTTTATTGGGTAGTCTACATTTATCAAAAGCAAGAACTTACAAACTTGAATCACAACGAACTGAACGTGATGCCTATTATAAAAAATCAGTCGAGTATTTTAAATCGGCTTTGAAAACTGGCGAAAAAGGAAAAAATTTGTATGCATGTAATGGGATTGCTGTTGCAATGGCTGAAACTGGAAGGATAAAAGAAGCAAATGAACTGTTCTATACTGTGGGCATTATTAATCCGATAATTATTTTGTTCGTTCAATGCGTTGATTTTTTAATAATATATGAAATTTTTTATTGTTGTATTTTTAGTTGGTCACAGCAAAAAGAACAAATGCAGACTTTGCAATTAATTATGCACATACTTGTTGTCATCTTGGACAGTATACAGAGGCTATAAGATATGTAATTAGCGATTTATTTTTATTAATAGATTTTTCCTTCACATTCATGGAATATAAAAAATTTGACCATTTAACTTTTTAAAAAACAAAGTATGACTATGCATTAAAAAAAAGCAAAGATAGTAATTCGCAATGCATTGAATGGATAGCAAGAACATATTATATTTACGCAAAAGAAAACAAAAGTTTAGAGTTGATGGAGAAGGCATTAGATTGGACTCAAAAAGTATGTGTGCTTCCTCCTATTTTTCAAAAAACCCAAATATATGTGCATTATACAAATAACAAATTTTATTTGGTTTGATGAAATGATAAAGGCATATGAATTAGATCCAACAAATAAACTAGTGCAACACAATATTGCCTTATTAGAACAGGGAATGGCACAATTCTTATTAGAAAAAATTGCAAATTCGTCACAAAAATCTGAAGATATCAGAAGAGCTATTGAACGTGCCGAAAGAGCAAACACGTATGTCTATGGCTTATATAAGTACAAACACACAAGTATAAATACTAATGTATGTTAATTCATTATCACATTTACATATATTTTTATATTTTAGTGTATTTGAGTCGTTGCTTACAGAAGAAAATAGACATTTACCAATTGAACATGAACGTGTTAGGAATCGTACAAACTTTGGTGCGTCGACGATCACTTCATTGAGTAAAAAACTTATTGAAGCAGTTGATAGAGAAATGACAGAGAAAGAGTCACTCGAGGAGCAAGAAAAAATGAAAATTGAAATGCAAAGATTAGAAGAGGAGAAAAAAGGTATTGTTAATTAATTGATAAGTGAATTTATTCATTAATATTCATACGAGCATATGGAAGACAACCAACCGTCAATCCGTTTATTAACTTTTTTTCCGATGCTTGTCAAAAGGTTGAAGAAGAACGTATCAGAAGGGAAGAAATGGAAATAAAGAGAAAAGAAGCAGAGGAAAAAAATAAACAAATGCAACAATATATTGAACTGCAAAAAAGATCTCTCGAATTAGTTCCGTGGACAGAGAAAAGAAACGAAAAAAGGAGGAAAAAGGATGATGAATCTGAAAAAAAATTATGAGATTTGCTTTTTTCTTATAATTGTTATAAATTTACTTCTTTATAATTTTATAAATAGCCCGCCACGTGTAATAAGCTGTTTCTTTAAGATATGTTGTATTACAAAGAACTTGCATCTGTCTGATCTTTACTTTGTAAAATTTCCATTTATAAAAACCCAGACAAAAATAAATAATAATATTACGTAACAATATTCCAAAAAAAAAAAAATCATTTATACATTTTTTTCTTCAAATTTTTTACATTTTAAACATTAAAACAAAATGGACGATAGAGAAAGAGAGAGAAGAGAAAGAGCTGAGGTTAATATATTTATTTTCTATATTAACCAATTGCCATGAACTACAATTTTTTTCGAAAATTTTATAGGAGGAACGCAAATACGAAGAAGAACTGAGATTAGCAATAGAACGTTCACTCGAAGAAACAAAAAGTCCTAAACCATCAACTACTGTATAATATTTTTTTAATATACTTGATTTATAATATTTATAATATATATTTAAAATTGACCAATTTTTAATTTATTTATAAAAAGTTTAAACTAGCAACTCCACCTTCAATTCCTTCATCAGTATGTATCTTTATTTTTATATAAATTTGAAGATACATATATAATATATATATGTATTTACCCTTGGAATGATTTACTGACTGATATTATTATTATTGTTATTATTATTAAGATCAAGAATAAAGAAAGGATTATCAAAGAAACAAAAACGAAAAAGCCAGAAATTCCAAAAAGAGTTAAGGCACTATATGATTTTGTACCTAATGAAAGTGGCGAACTTGGTTTCGTACGCGGTGATGTTATCAAAGTTCTTGACAGTATCTATAGAGAATGGTGGCGTGGTGAATTACGTGGAAAGATTGGTATTTTTCCAGTAAATTACGTTGTAAGTATTCATTTATCTTTCATGCAATCTTCATCTTTTCAATAATAATAGTTTTTCATAATTAATTGGTCTTGATTGATTGGTTGGCTGGTTAGGAAGTCATAAATGAGCCGACTGTTGCAGATATTACAAAAGAAGCTGAAATGGAATTAGCGGTATTTGAGCAGGCTCAAAAAATAGACAAATTACTGGAAAAATTGGAAAAGATTGATCCATCGAAAGATGCGGCGGAAGACGAAGAAATTCAGGTTTCTATTATTATTATAAGTAATGGAATATTTTTATTTTTATATTTATATTTATATTTATAAAAATACATTTTTAAAGGAATTATATCAATCAACATTACCTATTCGATCAAAATTGGTCAAACTTATTGAGAAATATAGTCAGAAGAAAGGTATTATTATATCACTCTATCATCGTCATCATGAATTCTTTAAAAAATATTTATTAATAAAATAATTACTTTTTGTGTCTAGATGATCTACTCTCACTTCATCATAGATACATTCAAGCTACAAAAAGCTATGAACAACTTATGGAAAAATCAATTGAAAGATATGATGAATCTGGTTATTATTATTATGATTATTACTATTATTTTATAAAAAAAAAAAATTCTTGCTCATTAATTGACTTTATCACAAAATAGTATCATATCCACAGTATCCAACCAAAAGTAGTATAATTGAACAGCCAACTTATTCTACAACAAGAAGAGATACATTACCTCTTCCTCAAATACCTGTGTATCAACAATCCAATTCTAACGAAATAAGTCAACTCCCACCACAACCACAACCAATAAAATCTGATCTCAATATCACTTCTCAACAAATTCCACAGCAAACTCATTATAAATTGTTCTCAAATACAAATAATCAAGACTCTTCGAGCTTGCTTAATCAAATCCCTTTACCATATCAATCTAGCACACAAGATATTCAAGCTCTACAACAAAACAATATCCAGGCTCAATTGCAACTGCAAGCTCAACTGCAAGCTCAAGAGCAAGCTCAACTGCAAGCTCAACTGCAAGCTCAAGAGCAAGCTCAACTGCAAGCTCAACTGCAGGCTCAGAAGCAGGCTCAAGAGCAAGCTCAACTACAGGCTCAGAAGCAGGCTCAAGAGCAAGCTCAACTCCAGGCTCAACAGCAGGCTCAACTCCAGGCTCAACAGCAGGCTCAACTCCAGGCTCAACAGCAGGCTCAACTCCAGGCTCAACTCCAGGCTCAACAGCAGGCTCAACTCCAGGCTCAACAGCAAGCTCAAGAGCAAGCTCAACAGCAGGCTCAACTCCAGGCTCAACTGCAAGCTCAAGAGCAAGCTCAGCAGCAGGCTCAACTGCAAGCTCAGCAGCAAGCTCAACTCCAGGCTCAACTCCAGGCTCAGCAGCAAGCTCAACTGCAGGCTCAACAACAGGCTCAACAACAGGCTCAACAGCAAGCTCAACTGCAGGCTCAAAAGCAGGCTCAAGAGCAAGATATTACAGCTGCTCTTCAGCAAGTTACTGCTGCTTTTCAACAAGTTCCACAACAAGCCTCACAGCAAGCTCCACAGCAATCTTCTCTTCATAACACACAATATCAACTACCAGTCATTAACACTGCTAATATTAATAACCTGCCAGGGCAGCAAAATGCTTTTGATCCAAATCAACAATCACAACCACAACAACCACAAGAATCTTCAATTCAACTAGCTTCTATTTTACAACAGCAGCAGCAATCAATACCATCACCATCATCAGTAAACCCACATCAACATCTATTACAACAGCAACAACAACTACCACAATATTTAAATAATCAAACTTCAAGTATGCCTCCTACATTACAACCCCCAAATATACAAAATTCTTCAGCAGCAGTATCACCATCCACCCAAGCACAACAATTGCCACAAAATCAATACCCACCATATCCAAATCAAAATCAAAATCAAAATCAAAATCAAAATCAAAATCCAAATCAAAATCCAAATCAATCTTCATATCTGCCTACTTCAATTTACAATAATAATGCACCATCAAATTCTTCTCTTCCTCAACAGCAACAAAATTATAATTCTCAGGTAACTTGTTTATTTATTTTTAATAAGTATATTATTATTCCATAAATTTAACATAAATATTTTCAATAATAATAATAACAGCAGCAGCAGCAACAACAACAACAACCTCAACCTCCTCTACAATTACTTCAACAACATTATACTCCAATTCCTCAACAATCTCAAGTACCACCTTCTCAATTCAATCAATTCAATCAGGGATCTTAAATGCAAGTGCCTCAAGCACAGCATCCTCAATAATGAACAAATATAGTAACAGCATACATTCATTATATTATTACTATATATTTATTTGTTGAGATTTGTATTTTAATTTATTTACTCCTTAATCGTTATTATTTAAATATAATCATTATAATTATATAAACATTATTATTGTTATCATAAAGAAAATTCATGTATATTTATGTTGGTTAATTGCTATTTTCATCAATAAAAAATTTTCCTAAATATTCAGCTTCTTTAGCCATTTCCTCCAAACTACGAGGTTTCCTCTCTTCATTATCAATAGCTAATTGTGATTTATCAATATCCTTATAAATATCATCATTATTTATATAATCACCTAATTTTCTAGGTATTATATGAACATGACAATGTGACACCTATTATTAAGTGAGAAAGAAAGATTAAGCGGCGTGTTTAATAATCTATTGATATCTATTACTATCTTTACCGTTTGACCAGCTGCTGGACCATCCTAAAATATAAATATAAATTTAATAGATATTTTACATCCCTGCATATAAATACACACATGTATATGTATTAATTGATAAATTACTTGAATTGCTATAGTCAAAGAATCACTTTTATACTCCTTTTCGATGACTTTGCCAATTTTTTGAGCACTTATCATTATATCACAAACCTATTAATAAAAATCATTATTAGAAAATTACAAAGATGATGATTATGATGATATTATTGATTTAAAAAAATTGTTTTGATCACCTCTTCAGAAGTTAATTCTGTAAACCTTGGGACTTGACGATATGGTGCCACTAATACATCTATTGTTTAAAAGTAAATTATGGATTCTATATGTTGAATTTTGAAAAATTCAAAGATTAAAAAATAAAAGGATACGACCACTAAGTGATGTTGAATCAATACAACCATCATTTTTTATCAATTATTTAATTAATTAATTCAAAAATTCATACAATAAAATTAAGGAATTTACATACGGTAAAATTGGTTTTAAATTAACGAATCCATAACATAAGTTTGACTTTAAAAACACCTCGCTTGAACGTATTTTATTTGGTCCAAACAAGTAATAAATTGACATTTTTTTTTTTTTGTATATTGTAGCTATTTTTGATGATCTTTTTACTATCTAATTTTTCGTTTAGTTAATCCCATATTCCCATAATGTTATAAACTACGATTATTGGAGAAAAATAACATTTACAATGTTAGGATAAAATTATGTATTGTTTTTATGAATAATATAAAGAAAATTCTCCGTAGACAAATTTATGTAGTTTGTTAATATTATTTAAAATGGTACCTATACTATCTAAGTCAATAATTGGTTCAGCTGAATTTTTAGATATACCATAATAGTTGTTACTTGCTGTAACTCTTCTTCCCCAAAACATCATTCAAACGAGATTGTGTAGCAATATCAGTACTTTCATCCCAAAAAATGACACTTTCCCCAAATTTCATCATTTATCGATAAAGATATAAATTCCAAAATTTGATGGCCAGAAAAAGAATTCTCTTAGTTAATAAAGCAAGGTGGATTTAGTGTTCTACCAAGATTTACTGTACTAGAAAACTTGTGTTATTTTTGGCCATCAAATATATAGTTTTCGTTAACCCAAAGTCATTATCAGCCTTTTGGTAGAACATCATACATTGCTTGCTTCTTTTTCCTTTTCTCTATTTATAGCACTATTATGTTCATCTGATTTAGAATGTTCCTTAAGAACAGAAATCCTATTTGAGGTAATAAGTTCAAATATTAAATCATAAAACAAAAGAATAATATTTTATAATTATTACCTTTAGTTGCAAAAAAAATTTTTTTTTTTGAAAGAGATTTATAAATTTTACAATACATCAATTTCATGGAAATGTAAGCGGCCGTTCATATTTAAAGCTCTGTCTTTCGATTTTTATATGAATTAGACATCGTCGTTTTATCATTATCCTTCAATTGTATCATCAATTATATTAGCATCATCATCATCATCATCATCATCATAATTTCAACATTACTATATTCTTCATCGGAGACTGAATTAACTTTAAAATAGTTTAATACAATCAATCCATTTATTTGTTATAGAAAATTTTCTGATCAAATTTCTTCCGGAAATTTTCAAATTTTGTCGGTAAAAACAAACTGGATCTATATCAATTTTTTAACCCTGATGGAATAACTTATGCATTCCGATACTATAGAGAAATCCTTATTGAATTGTTCTTTTAAAAGTACTAAAATAACAATAAGCTGTTTACAGGTAGAAGATAAAGGATCTTTAATTAAAGATAACATCGCATGAAAATTGAATTATTGGAGAAGCCGCCTCTACTCAACCATAATAAAATCTGACAAGATCAGTAATAACTACTAGATATTTATGTCCACGACAAATTATATTTAAAACTATAACAGAAAGATGATTCAACTATTAGGATACTCATTTAGAACTTTGATCATCCTATATTTTTTCATAGATTAGATTGCTATTTTTTGATAGTCCCGAACTTTTTTTTATAAATTAGCAAATTCTTTAAGGTACATTATAATCATTTTGTTGTAATTATATATGTGATAATGATCTATATAGCTCAAAATCACACTAAAACTAGCTCTTCTTACGGGTTGCGCCCATTCACCGACAGACGTTTCCCCGACAGGACGTTTTTCAATGCATTCTACAAATTTAGCATAATATTTCTTTGTTTTCCTGACACGTCCATATCATACCATTATCATTATCGAGGAATGACATATATCTGGTGTGTTGGCCGATTATCCGGCTAATCTGTTAAAGTCAGTTAAGTCATTATTAGCCGAGTAGTCAGTTTAGTTAATAAAATGAGTTGTCGTGGAATCGGTGTAGACCCCTTCTTACAGACGATTTCAGACTGTCAATTTCAATTCACAAAGAATAAATAATTCGTTACCTAAGTCACGGAAGTATCAATCTATATTCTTTGGTACCAACATTTAAATATTTATGCTATAATTATTTGAAATCTGTTTATTTAGAAATATTTGAAAATATGACTTTCTCACTTTCTAATTGTCGGATTTTATTAAATAATTCGAAATACTCTTAAAACTCTAGAGATTAAAAGCAAATCAAGCGACGAAAACTTTCTGGGAGAGTTGATTAAATAAATTGTACAGTACTATAAAAATTTATGAAGTTTATCAATATTATATTATATGCAAATAATGTGGATAAAGAGCCGATACTTTGTTAAATCACAATGTATTAAATTAATAGCTTTCATGATACAACACATGAATATAAAATGGAATATCAACAGTCTTAAATCAAACATACCTAAAATTTAAAAGCATACGTTTTAAGGATAAAGTTGGGATTTCTTATGAATCATTGAAATTATTAATGAATAAGTGACAAGATCCTAGACTTATTACTATAAAATTAGTTGGACATTCTGAATATTCCGAAGAAAGATCCTCAGTAGAATTTTTTATAAAAATAAATTTAGCTGGGTTATTATGATTATTATATAATATTTAAATTTTCCCTCATCGGATAACTGTACCCTTCGGTGCACGTGATTTGTGCATTATAAATTTTATTTTTGTGTAACTTAATTTTGTTACTCATATCCATGGGCCCCTAAAAAAATCAAAATTTTTTTTCGAAATAATAATGAAAAAGCTCGATTTTTAATTTTAATGACTAATTATCGTCTGAAAAATCATAATCTTCAGAATCTGAAAGATCCATTTCTGAGTCACTTCCGAATACTTCTTTGTAAGTTGGAGCAGTGTTGGAAGTAGTAATGGTAGTGGCAGCTGTAGTGGTTGTTGTGTTGGTGGTATTTGTAGTTGCACTGCTCGTGGAATTTGTAGAGAACGAGTAGCTCATGGATTGTGATGATGTTTTGATCTTTTTCTTTTCATGAACACTCTTATGATTATTATTGTTATCATCATCATTGACTATTTCTTCACGACTTCTTTTAAGCCTTGTCATATAAGAGCTCGATGATACAACATCATTATTAATATTGTTGGTGTTAGTTCCACCATTTTCATGAGCTCGTTTAGACCTCGTCATATAGGGGTTTGATAATGCAACATAGTGATCATTATTATCACGATCATTTGTTATTAATGTATTAGTAACATCAAGACTTGCTATCACACGTTGTTCCTTACGAAGTTTTCTTGCATTAAATTTTTCTTTTGACTATTTAAAAAATTATTTTAAAAAAAAATCAAAAAATCAAAAAATCAACAATAACAATAACAATAACGATAATAAATATAAACGTACTTCAATATCTTGTTTTATCTTTGGAATAATTTCATTAATAATCATATTACGAAGTTGTTTATCCTTGCCAACCCTTATCTTTAACTCGTTGGTATCGTTAATATAGCTTTCCAATTCTTCAAGTGTAGTAGTAATTGATTCCCAAATAGTATTTGATTGTGTTTTATCTTTATTTTTATTTTTAATGATGGTTTCACGGTAAACTCTCGCGCCTTCTGATCAATAAATAAATATTTTTTTAAAAAATTTCATTTTTTAACTTACAATATGAATACATGTATGTGTGAAACTTACTTCCAAAATAATAATATTTACGTCCCTTTTTATCTTCGCCAAATGGCAAAACTTCTAAATCATTATTTTGATTCCTCTTTCCTTTTCTATATTCTATTTCAATGGCTTTTCGTATTACATCAGATTCTTGTAGTTGCCACGTAATCAATGTATTTAGTATTAACACCTATAGAATATAATACATTATCATCATTCAAATCAGAATTTATCTCAATTGCAATATATAAGCACGATTATTTGCTAACCTTATCTTTAATATTGAGTTCATAATAATTGTTAACCCGTCGTAAAGGATTGAAATCTTGATAGAATTGATTGATTTTTTCATCAATAGTTTCTGACAAAATTCTTTGCCATGCATTTCGACTATGATGTTTTTTATATAAACATACGAATATATATATATATAACTTTATTAGAATCATATAGATTGGTTGATTGTGTCTTGCATTATTTTCATCTATGCTTACTTTACAGCCTTTTTTTGATTTATAAAATTTCCCAAAAAAACACAATGAATTTTTTCTACAAGAGCATTTTCAGCTTCCTCTGCAAGAGCATGTTCAAATTCCTATTTATTTAGAAATGTATGTATGATGGGAAATCACATAATTTTTGTTTTATCCATTACCAAAATGAATAATAAAATTACCTCTGGCCAAAATTCTACTAATCCCTTCAAGTATGAATGAAATTTTTCACAGAAAGCAATAATTGTGGAGGTCTCCTTCATTGACTTTACCATCTTTTCATTTTCTTGTATCTTCTTGGTGTTAACATTAGTGCTAGTGATGGTGGTGTTAATTGCAGATGAGGATGTGGTGGAAGTATTTGTTGCTGTCAACTCTGTTCTTAATTTTAAAATTGTCATATTTGTATTTATATCAAACACGAATATATTAAACTTTTTTTTTTATGGTAGAAATTTTTTTTAGTGTATGTATGTTAGTTATTTGAGTTGATTGGAAAAAAAATTTTATTTTTTTTTTAACTGAATTTACGATCTGGAACTTTTTGAAGTTGTCTATTTATCAATTACGACGATTAATCATCACATTACGTGTCTTACGATATATATATAGCAACTATTGTATTATCAATATTGTAAGCATGTCGTTTCAACATAGTGGCCAGATGGAATCAAGGAAGTTTTCTAGAAATAATTTTACTATACAAGTTTTTATTTTTTATTAAAAATTAAAAAAACATTATAGAAAAACATTCTTAATACTATCATGTATTTCAAAATATTACACTTTATCATTACCATCACCAACTTTACCATCACCGCCATCTTTATCAACTATACTGCCACCACTATTATTATTATTTTTATTATTATTTATTATTAAAATATCATTTTCCCATTCTTTATCTAATTCTAAATTTTTCCTTTCGCTAATTTTTATAATATCATCATCAATATTGACAATTTCATCGTCTTTATCATTTGGACGATAGAAGATATAATGTTGTAAAATGAAAATTGAATCAAAAAATATTGTTATTACTCCAAGGCCACTAAAATATTATTAGAGATAATTATTAGAGGTGAGAAATTAAAAAACATTCGAATGAGAAAATTAAATATTTTTTTACTTACAATTTAACAAAATCCTAATTATATTTAATTAATATTTAATTCTTATGGTTAATTACAAGCACGATTGTAGAATTAATTGATCAATCAATTAATTATATGAATACATATATAACTTACACCTAATACACCAGCCCAATTATCGTCTATATAGGCATCTAACAGTATTTGTAGAGTTGAAAATACACCACCAGTGAAATCCTAATTATAATAAATAATGATGAAGTGTGATAGGCAAGAATGAGTTTATTTTTATTTTAGAAATAAAATCTTTAATGATTCTATTAACTAATTACCAGTATATTTGTGTAAATACTCCATCCATGAGTTGATTTTCTTGAATAATTAAAATAAACCTATTTTTTTTTTTTTACCAAAATAAAAAAATTTAAACAATTATTTCCTAAAAAATAAAAAAATCCAATTTAAAAAAAAGGTTTAATATTACTTGAGGAGAATACTTAATACAAGTAAAAAGCAATTTCAAATAACTTAGATAATATAATACATCTATCCATTCAATAAAGGCAAGTTTTACAGCTATAAACATTAAAAATGTTACAAATGTAGCAATAGTTATCACAACAAATGTGGACACTGATGGTCTTGGAGTGTCACTATTCTATGAAATTGGGAAATTACCAAAAAAAATATTAATGGAAAAAATTAAACCATAAAATAAAAATAAATATAAATAATAAATATTTTTCTTTTTACCTTGTATAAAAATAATTGAAATAGTAATACTGTAGAAGCAATTAATGAATGGCATGAAAACAATAAATCGTTAAATCTAACTAAATTATTTTTTCCGCCATTTCTTTCACGATATTCAGCTTGGGTTTGAGGCACGTATAGAAAAAATAAATTGAATATCTTGTTTTTTTTTTTTTTTTTTACATGGAAAAATAATTAATTGGATTTTTAATAAAATTTTTAAAAAAATTCTAAATGAAAAAAAACTTACAAAATAACACAAAAATCCATAAAAATTATACCATATAAAGTCGATAGAAAGTCCTTTTACACTATTAAAAAAAAAAAAATTAATATCGATTAATTTTCTAGTAATAAGATTTTTTTCTTTAAGAACTAACTCACCTTTTAAGTTTCCAATTGAGAAATAATTGAGGATAGAAAGTAAGTCCCCATGCTATGAAATATGTCTAAAAAATTGATATATTATTTATATTATAACTAGGACTGTGTAATAATAAATATATATATGATTATTGAAGCTTACCCATCCAAAAACACTGGCTACTACTTCTAACGACTTGTAAAGATCTGAGCTTGGGTCCATTATTGATTTTCTTTTTTTTTTATTATTATAAAAAAAAACGAAAATTTTTTTCAAAATTATATATACATATAATATATATATATATATATATATAGGTAATTATTGTGGCAGTGGACTGTTTTCCATAAAAAATTGAGTGTTTAAAATGTTGTACAAAGAATTCCGTAACTCCTTTTCTATATACTTTACATACCAACAATTGTTCGATTCCTTGATCGGAAGTTTCTGATTTTGTTTATCTGTATGTTGATGATTAAATCGGCGATAACCTTATTTTAAAATAGTGTAAAAATAAAAATCAAAAAATTTTTGTAAAAATTTCAAAAATAGAATTTGCTTTAATATATACTAACATTCCTTTAATTAATTGATTAAGAAGGATCATATGAATCAATAGTAGTTGATATTAATAATCATCATCATGACATTGGTGCAATCTTCATCTTTTCAATAATAATAGTTTTTCATAATTAATTGGTCTTGATTGATTGGTTGGCTGGTTAGGAAGTCATAAATGAGCCGACTGTTGCAGATATTACAAAAGAAGCTGAAATGGAATTAGCGGTATTTGAGCAGGCTCAAAAAATAGACAAATTACTGGAAAAATTGGAAAAGATTGATCCATCGAAAGATGCGGCGGAAGACGAAGAAATTCAGGTTTCTATTATTATTATAAGTAATGGAATATTTTTATTTTTATATTTATATTTATATTTATAAAAATACATTTTTAAAGGAATTATATCAATCAACATTACCTATTCGATCAAAATTGGTCAAACTTATTGAGAAATATAGTCAGAAGAAAGGTATTATTATATCACTCTATCATCGTCATCATGAATTCTTTAAAAAATATTTATTAATAAAATAATTACTTTTTGTGTCTAGATGATCTACTCTCACTTCATCATAGATACATTCAAGCTACAAAAAGCTATGAACAACTTATGGAAAAATCAATTGAAAGATATGATGAATCTGGTTATTATTATTATGATTATTACTATTATTTTATAAAAAAAAAAAATTCTTGCTCATTAATTGACTTTATCACAAAATAGTATCATATCCACAGTATCCAACCAAAAGTAGTATAATTGAACAGCCAACTTATTCTACAACAAGAAGAGATACATTACCTCTTCCTCAAATACCTGTGTATCAACAATCCAATTCTAACGAAATAAGTCAACTCCCACCACAACCACAACCAATAAAATCTGATCTCAATATCACTTCTCAACAAATTCCACAGCAAACTCATTATAAATTGTTCTCAAATACAAATAATCAAGACTCTTCGAGCTTGCTTAATCAAATCCCTTTACCATATCAATCTAGCACACAAGATATTCAAGCTCTACAACAAAACAATATCCAGGCTCAATTGCAACTGCAAGCTCAACTGCAAGCTCAAGAGCAAGCTCAACTGCAAGCTCAACTGCAAGCTCAAGAGCAAGCTCAACTGCAAGCTCAACTGCAGGCTCAGAAGCAGGCTCAAGAGCAAGCTCAACTACAGGCTCAGAAGCAGGCTCAAGAGCAAGCTCAACTCCAGGCTCAACAGCAGGCTCAACTCCAGGCTCAACAGCAGGCTCAACTCCAGGCTCAACAGCAGGCTCAACTCCAGGCTCAACTCCAGGCTCAACAGCAGGCTCAACTCCAGGCTCAACAGCAAGCTCAAGAGCAAGCTCAACAGCAGGCTCAACTCCAGGCTCAACTGCAAGCTCAAGAGCAAGCTCAGCAGCAGGCTCAACTGCAAGCTCAAGAGCAAGCTCAACTCCAGGCTCAACTCCAGGCTCAGCAGCAAGCTCAACTGCAGGCTCAACAACAGGCTCAACAACAGGCTCAACAGCAAGCTCAACTGCAGGCTCAAAAGCAGGCTCAAGAGCAAGATATTACAGCTGCTCTTCAGCAAGTTACTGCTGCTTTTCAACAAGTTCCACAACAAGCCTCACAGCAAGCTCCACAGCAATCTTCTCTTCATAACACACAATATCAACTACCAGTCATTAACACTGCTAATATTAATAACCTGCCAGGGCAGCAAAATGCTTTTGATCCAAATCAACAATCACAACCACAACAACCACAAGAATCTTCAATTCAACTAGCTTCTATTTTACAACAGCAGCAGCAATCAATACCATCACCATCATCAGTAAACCCACATCAACATCTATTACAACAGCAACAACAACTACCACAATATTTAAATAATCAAACTTCAAGTATGCCTCCTACATTACAACCCCCAAATATACAAAATTCTTCAGCAGCAGTATCACCATCCACCCAAGCACAACAATTGCCACAAAATCAATACCCACCATATCCAAATCAAAATCAAAATCAAAATCAAAATCAAAATCAAAATCCAAATCAAAATCCAAATCAATCTTCATATCTGCCTACTTCAATTTACAATAATAATGTTTATATAATTATAATGATTATATTTAAATAATAACGATTAAGGAGTAAATAAATTAAAATACAAATCTCAACAAATAAATATATAGTAATAATATCATGAATGTATGCTGTTACT